TCCTGGTTTAGTCCTGGTTTAGTCCTGGTTTAGTCCTGGTTTGGTCCTGGTTTAGTCCTGGTTTAGTCCTGGTTTGGTCCTGGTTCAGTTCTGGTTTAGTCCTGGTTCAGTCCTGGTTTAGACCTGGTTTAGTCCTGGTTTAGTCCTGGTTTGGTCCTGGTTCAGTTCTGGTTTAGTCCTGGTTCAGTTCTGGTTTAGTCCTGGTTTAGTCTCTGGATACTCGTCCCTGATTGGTCGACACGACGCGTCCGAACGCATCTTAAGGACGGTTTGAACAGGGCCCTGGAGAGATCACTAGATGACTCAAACATCTTCTGTTTGGATTAAAACATCTGTGGATCTTTGTTTCGTTCTTTTATAAAATCTCAGAGTTAAATGAATGTTTTTTTTTTCCCGTAGCTCCTCTGCTCTCAGTCCGACTCGCACCTCGTCTCGCTCCGTTCCCGTGACGACGTGGAATTTGTCGGTAAAATGGCGGCTAAACTTGGCGTTCCCGTTTGGACCGGAGGATACTCTGTCCCTCAGGTAAAAGTCGAGGTGACCTGAGTTTAACTCCAGACTCAGAGTTATTTTAGAGATTATTTTACCTTATCTTTATTCTGTTCTTTATCAGACTCTGTGTTTTGGAGCGATGTCGGTCGTGTTTGGAGGCTGATCCGTGCGTTTCTGAGTTTAATCTTTAAACTTTTATCTCTTTTTTCAATTCGCTGGTTAATTTTCAAACTTAATTAAATTCAATTCTGAGCCAAAACTCTCCAGAATGTTCCACGCTCAAAGTCCAGCCATTGTATCATTCTTTTATTCTATTTAATAATGAATAATAATTAAACAAATGTAAAGATAAGAGGTTGGTGTGGGTAAATTCCCTCAGTCGTTCAGGTAGAATCAACGACGAAGGAGAAAATCCGTTTGTCGATTTGAATTTGAATTAAATTTCTCATCGTGTGTCAAAAGTAGAATGAAATAGTTTTGAATTATCTCCAAATAATCCAGTTTTTTTCCCTTCACTTCTGTCGTTTGGAAGTGGAACGTGGTTGTAGCGGCAAAGTCCTGACAGAAGAAACAGAAGAGAAAGTCTTTATTGTGATTGTAAAAGATACAACAGACGGAAGAGCAAAGGCAGCAACAATTAAATAATAAAAGATAAAAAGATAAAAGTATCTATGGACATTTGGAAAAGAGTAAATCCACACACGTCCACATTCATAAATGTACAAAGTAAAAAATATGCTTTGAAAGAACCATTTATTGAAATAATGGATCAAATGGATCAAATCTGTTTTGTCGTCTGTTTGTCGTGTTCTGCAGAGTCGTTCAAGACTCAGACGTGACTCAGTCTAGTCACATTTTCTTTGTGTTTTGTCGTTTTTAAGCCGATTTTCTGTAGTTTACCAAAACAAATGACAGTTTTGTCTCTGTTTACTTTTGCAGGATCAGATTATGTGTCTGGTCAAGTGTTAACGGAGGAAACAGGGTCAGATTTTTGACATTCAAATGTCTCTTATTCAGAAACTAGAGGAACTATTGAAATAAGTAAAGTATCAGAATGTAGGAAAGAGTTACACTCCAACAGGGTCAAGTTAAACCTGTGAGATTCTTTCAAGTTCAAGACAAAAAATGTAAAAACTCATGTCGGTAACGGAGGGAATGAAATATGCAGCACTTTTTGGTCAATAAATCCAAACAGTGATAACTCTTGGTTCTCACTTCCATATCCTTAACAAACTGGTTTGAATATTTGCTTCATATAGTTTTCTACCATATGGTACAAGATTAGGTTGAAAAACCTCAGACTTTTTGACTCAGGAGATTTTTTATTAAGAAAGGTTTCTTGCTTCTTGATTTGTGTAAAACTATTAACATTTATATTTACAGCAGGTTTTATTTCCAAATAAGTCGTACACAGTTTCATTTCGCTGAAAGTGAAAATAAACTGACCTGGAGTTTTTATAACCTGTTTTTCTTTTTCTTTTTTTGGTTTTCAGAGTGAATCGTGGTCCTGGAGCGACGGGTCTTATTTCAGTTTAAACGTTTGCACCAATCAGATGAAAAACCACAGCGAGTGTCTGGAGGCAGAAGGTGAACCGAAAAATGATTACGCTCTCACTCCAGATCTGACTCCAGATTCACGCCACACACACTCCAGATCTGACTCCAGATTCGCTCCGCACACACACTCCAGATCTGACTCCAGATTCGCTCCGCACACACACTCCAGATCTGACTCCAGATTCACGCCACACACACTCCAGATCTGACACACACACACTCCAGATCTGACTCCAGATTCGCTCCGCACACACACTCCAGATCTGACTCCAGATTCGCTCCGCACACACACTCCAGATCTGACTCCAGATTCACGCCACACACACTCCAGATCTGACTCCAGATTCGCTCCGCACACACACTCCAGATCTGACTCCAGATTCACGCCACACACACACTCCAGATCTGACTCCAGATTCGCTCCGCACACACACTCCAGATTGACTCCAGATTCACACACACACTCCAGATCTGACTCCAGATTCACGCCACACACACACTCCAGATCTGACTCCAGATTCACGCCACACACACACTCCAGATCTGACTCCAGATTCGCTCCGCACACACACTCCAGATCTGACTCCAGATTCGCTCCGCACACACTCCAGATCTGACTCCAGATTCGCTCCACACACACTCCAGATCTGACTCCAGATTCACGCCACACACACACTCCAGATCTGACTCCAGATTCGATTCGCCACAGATTCACACACACACTCCAGATCTGACTCCAGATTCACGCCACACACACACTCCAGATCTGACTCCAGATTCGCTCCACACACACACTCCAGATCTGACTCCAGATTCGCTCCACACACACACTCCAGATCTGACTCCAGATTCGCTCCGCACACACACTCCAGATCTGACTCCAGATTCACGCCACACACACACTCCAGATCTGACTCCAGATTCACGCCACACACACACTCCAGATCTGACTCCAGATTCGCTCCGCACACACACTCCAGATCTGACTCCAGATTCGCTCCGCACACACACTCCAGATCTGACTCCAGATTCGTGCCGCATTCACAAAAATGCAAAACGGTGCAGACACACGTCCTCAGAGACTTTGAATGTAAACACTGTCTGACGCACGGTTCAAGTTTTCTAGTGGAGGGTCCTTCACCTGCTCGTCTCCATGGAGATGTTACTGCTTTACCTGGAATGTTCCATCATATGACATTAAACATTCCCATCAGCGTTTATTCATGTCAGGTGTTTCTGTTGCTCATAAACACCATCTCCACAGATCTGACCTGTAATGCAGTGTAGTGCTGTGACCTGCTCGTCTCCCCGGTGATACACGGTTTAATCTGCACTGTGGAACATTCTGGACAAAGTAATAACATCTCCATGGAGACAAACGGGTGGCGGACCCTCCAGTAGAAACGCTGAGTTTTGTGTGATCTGTGACCTTTAACCTTTTATACGTTTGTTTTCATGTGTGTTATTGTGCAGGTGGTGAGGTGAGGAGCGCCCCCTGTGGTGAGATGCGGTTCTACATCTGCTCCAGACACACGAGGTGAGATTTAGATTTACAACTTTACAATATGACAAAGTTTGATTTTACAGAAAGTGACCAGATTTTTAAAACACAAAAACAGAGACTTTCTCAGTTTGTGGCGGCTCGTAAGGTCATTCTTTGTGTTTTGGTCCTTTTTAGGCGGCTTTTCTGTATTTTACTGAAACAAATGTCAGTTTATGTCTTGATTGGTCCAAAATAGAGACACTGGGACATTTCTTGTATAAAACTGGGACAAATCAGTGGTTTTGTGTAAATCTGCTGGGACAGAGACACAGGCTCAAAACTGGAACTGTCCTGAGGAAACAGGGACGACTCGCTGAAAAACTATTGGCTAATGTTTGAGAACACACAATGTCACACCCTCTTTTCACTATTTTATTTACACTTTCCATCCTAGTTTTTTACTTTTTACTTTTTTACTTTTTACTTTCGTGTCCTAGTTTTGACTTTTGCAAATCTGGAAAAGCTGAGAGGGACGAGTTTAACAGCACAGAGCCTCTCACCTGTTGGAGATTCAGGACAGTCAGGTTTTTATGGTCAGACTGAGTTCAAATAAAACTCCAGGGGGACAGGACCTTCTCTGTGGTGTGTGGCCCTAAGCCACAGGTGTCAAACATACGGCCCGGGGGCCAGATCCGGCCCTCCAAGACCTTTAATCTGGCCCTCGGCTGATTTTCTACTCAAATATTTGAATTCTATTTTCTATTAAAATGGTTGTTAATTTTTCTGTGGTGTTTATCACAGCAGCGTCTCCAGCGTCTCTGTACGTGGCCCCTCCCACCAGAGCAGCACAAATGAAGACTTGTCTCTTTCCAAACGCTCTTAAAGGACGATCGTTTTGACTGTTGACCGTGACACCCTCATCAGAAAAATGTCCAACATGAGAAAAGTGGAGCCGAGTGCAGGATTTTACAACAAAAATGGACTTATTCCTGTTTACAGACAAGTTCATGTTCAAACATTGTGTTGAAATTGTATTTTTCTTAAAGTTTCAGGTTGTTCATAATATTATAATATTTTGTAAAAGAAAGAGTTCATCAATTAAAAAAGATTTGTGTAATAGATTTGTGTTTCTCTGCACAAATATTTGAACTTATTGTTATTTTTGGGGTTTATTTGTCATGAGTTTTCTGATCCGGACACTTTGGGATCAAAGTCGGTTGGACACGACGCCCGGAACAAAATGAGTTTGACTCTCCTGATCTAAGCTCTGAAACGCTCTCGATCGGAAGTAAGAAAACCACATTAATCTGTTTTTTGTGGTTTCTAGTTTGGAGGACGATGAAGAGGCCGGAGCGTCTCCAGGTCAGTGTGTGTTTTTATGTTTTTATATTTTTGTATTTTCCTGTTTTCCTCAGACTTTTCCGCTGGGAGCTGGGTTCACAAACATTTTGAAATGTTGCAAGCATGAAAAAAAAAATAAAAAAATTGAGACTCTTGTTGGCACACGAAACATTTAGGACCAGGGATGGTTCGTGCTTTTTCACGGACCGGCGGCTCAAAACAAAACTGAGGACGAAGGGGGCGACTCTACGTTTATGTGATGAGGGTCTGAAGAGAAAATGCAAAAGTGGCGTCGCGTCTTCACTTTTTATTCTGCCTTTAGTCAACAATTTTCAGGAGGAAATCTGCTGCATACAGTGATGTAAATGTGTGTTGAATTGGATTGTGTGCATGCCAGGTTTGTGTGTCCTGTATGTGTGCGACGTAAACTCGTACGCGACCTGAGCACATGTGACCAGAGTTTTGCGTCTTGGGCAGCGTAGACGGAAACACTACGGCGGAGCATATTCAACTTTTCCGCTCTGGAGGTGGTTTCAGGTTTTTGCATTTTTTTAAGCCCCAAAAAAGCCGTCACCGTCTACAGGAAAGACGCCTCCCGTAAATATTTCATCATTTTTACCCGCGAGCGTTCTTGTGTAAAGAGGCTCTTAGGCTGCGTTCACACTGCACCTGAAGTGATCCAAATCCGATTTTTTGTCTCTATGTTCCTGTATCTGATCTTTTAATGTCAGTCTGAACCACACAGATCTGATTTTTTCAAACGTGACCCAGGACACTTGGATCTGTGCTCCTGAAACTGATCCATATCTGATCTTTAACATGTGACTTCAGTGTGAACGTCCAAAGCGCATTCATCCACCTACACGTCATCAACAAGACACAAACGTATTCAAACGTTCTTCTCGTCACACGAAAACTGTTGATGAACTCCGTGTGAGTGAAGTGAAGCACATCTCCACTCACCACAAAACACCACCACCAAAAACCTCGTCCTTCTCCTTCTCAATCTCCTCCTTAAAACAAGTAAGTTGTTCGTGTTCTGGCTCCGGTACGAGAGGAACTTTAAAATCTCCAGAGGAACTTTAAAATCTCTCTCGCTCGCTGCGGTTGACGTCGTCGTGTCTCCAGTGTCACATGTGGGACACTTTTGGACCGTTTAATGTTCACACTGGAGTCACACACAAGTCACATTTAACTGGAAATGTGAACGAGCTCGAAAAAACATCAGATTTCATTAAAAAATAAAAAAAATCGGAATTGAGCGTTAAGCCCTGCAGTCTGAACGTAGCCTCAGCGTGACGTCTCCACATCGTTCAGCTCCGAATAAAGCTCCTGTTGCCACGGTTACAGGCTCCGTATTTGTAAATCCGACCGCGAGCGTCGCAGCAACACAAGAGCCAATCGTGATCCCGTCCTTCTCACCGGAAAGCGGGAAGGAACGCACGAGCTGTCAAATAAAAAACGCTAATGTCAGGTATGAAAAAACTAACTCTTAGTCTGAAAAAATGACCAAATTACGTGAATCATCGGAAGACCAAATGAACCTGGTTGGATTTTTAGGACGATACGTTGGAGCGTGAAGGAGAGGAGGAACACTGAGCTCTGAGATGTTCGTTGGGGTCGATCCATGAAGAGCTTTAAAAACTCTAAAATAAACGTGGAGCAGGTGCAACGAGGATAAAACAAATGTGACGTTTCTCTACGACGTGCGCCGGTTCAGCCAGAATTTTGTCCTCACTGAGTGTGTTTACATGCACATGAGTATCCAGGTTTCGTCATGGTGCATGTAAACAGTTTCAGTGTCCCGGTTATTAGAAACCAGGATACTGTAGCTGGTTTATTCCGATAGTAACCAGGAGACTGTGGCATGTAAACACAGTATCCCAGTTACTGCAACATAAAGTTGAGTCACATGTGTCCAAAAGACAAACACTTTTCAGTCTTTTCACCACTACAACAGCGACATAAATAAAATGAACATACAGGAGTGAAATGTCTGCGCTAAACCTGCACATGTGCAATCTGCACTCGTACGACCTGCACTCGTGTGACGCTGAAAAGTTACACATGAAACATCTCCTGTACGATACACACACACAGAACAGACTCACCATCATCAGCACCTCTTCTGTCACAGAAAGAACACACATAATCCACTGAGTCTTGTCCTTTTGTCCGACAGAAGCTGAACCACATCAGCGACACAAGGAGCAGCTGTTTTTATCGCCGCTAACAGTTTATGCTTAATTAGCCATGTGGTCTTAGTTTCAGTAAAACGTAAACAAATGTGATCAGAGCTGAATGATCTGATCAAACGGGCTGATGTGGCTCTACAGTGGTTCTGGTTTATATGTTGTAAAGTTGAGTTTAGAATCTGAATGAAGAATCTGTTGGTTTGATGTGTGCAGTGGATTGTGGGAGATCTCGTAGCTCCTGAGCTTCTTATGCTAAAGGAGCTCACGGTTTGTATTTTTCCTGGTTTATGAAATTGATTTAAGTTCATTTTTGCGCTTGTGCATTTGTAAGATTATGTCAAGAAACATAATCAGCGCTCATGTAAACACAGTAACACGAACACTGACAGAACCAGGATATGGAGAATAACCAGTGTTGGGAGTAACGTGTTATAAAAGTAACGAATTACAGTAATGCATTACTTTTTGCTGTAACGCAGTAATGTTCGTCATTACAGGGGAAAAAATAGTAATATTTTACTCGGTACAAATGTGAGTAACGCACGTTACAATGTTTTTTTTTTTATCTGGATTGAAGTGGTGGGTTTTTCTTCATACAAATTCGCTAAAATCACCTCGATATCAGCAGCGGTGAAACGCCGGAGATGCTCCTCGTAGACCTTCAGGTGACCGCGGGCGAAAGGACTGACAAAGAACTCCACGCTGTTTAGACCTGGTTTAGACCTGGTTTAGACCTGGTTTAGTCCTGGTTTAGTCCTGGTTTACACTCGTCCCTCCCTCTAACACAGTTCACTTTTCGTGGTCTCGCTGTTTCACAGATTTTTTATTTTTTTTTGTGTGTGTGCAATTTTGCATGCCCTTTTTTGTTTTTTTTTTTTTTTACATTGTATGAATGTGTATTGTGTTCTTCCCGCTGCATCCTGATTGGCTGAGGGACTCCTGTCTCCTGTACAGTACAGAATGTGTTCAGCTGCCAAATTTAAATACATGTTCAGTCTGTATCAGTGTGATTCTGAAGTGTTGTACGGTTGCAAGTTTTCTCCCCGACAAAACCCACAACGTCGACGAAACGTTCTGCACCGACAAAGGCTCCTGCGCTCGCACCCAAAAGACAGAGGAAGATGAAACCATCACACAAAAAGTTGGACTTCTGGACACGCTGAAGGAAGGTAGAAGTTACGCAGCTGTAACAGACTCTTGCACCGGGTCTTGTACCTGCAAATAGTTGCTGAAATCAGGGCCGCGAGCCCGAGCAGCAGAGAGTCTGTAAAGAACGATCAGGCGACAGTCGCTCTTACCTCCATGAGGAGCAGAGCCGCTCCTTTCTCCTGTGGTCACCTTCAAGCCCGTCCCGACAGTGAGTCCTGTTTTAGTCCTAGTTCAGTTCTGGTTTAGTCCTGGTTCAGCTCTGGTTTAGTCCTGGTTCAGTTCTGGTTTAGTCCTGGTTCAGTTCTGGTTTAGTCCTGGTCAGCTCTGGTTTAGTCCTGGTTCAGTTCTGGTTTAGTCCTGGTTCAGCTCTGGTTTAGTCCTGGTTCAGTTCTGGTTTAGTCCTGGTTCAGTTCTGCTTTAGTCCTGGTTCAGTTCTGGTTTAGTCCTGGTTCAGCTCTGGTTTAGTCCTGGTTCAGCTCTGTTTAGTCCTGGTAGTAGTCCTGGTTCAGCTCTGGTTTAGTCCTGGTTTAGACCTGGTTTAGACCTGGTTCAGTCCATATACAGCGCAAAAGTTATTTTGGTGAGAGTAACTTAAAGTAATGCAATAGTAATGTAATGCCTTACATTTTAAATGCAGTAATATTGTAATGTAATGAAATTACTTTGAAATGACAGTAATAGGTCATAAATAACACATTACAGTTTCAAAGTAACTTGCCCAACAGTGATAATAACTGGAAAACTGATGTACATGTGAACACACTCACTGTGAGCGCGACAGGTGCGATAAACAGGACCCTGAACGCTGCTCTGATCACAGGAAACGTGCTCTTCAAATCCATTGTGTTTTCGCCGTTTTCATCTTCAAAAACCTAAACCTTTTCCAGCTGTTTGTTAGCGTGTGTGCTTGTGTCACCCTGGATTCTGCTGAAGATTTGGCCGTAGACCTCCATGCAGACCCGTGTGTGCTCTGGCGGTGCAGGTCTGGCTCCGGGCGTGGGGCTGGTGCAGGTGATGTGGGGCCACAGTGACCTGGTGGCCGAGGAGATCCTGAGCTCGTCGTCCTTCCTCCGGCAGCTCCGGTCGGGCTCCGTCACGCAGAGCTGCTACGAGCGCTTCGGCCAGCAGGAGGCGCTCTACCTGGGGCTGGTCTACAGGACGCTGGAGGTGAGAGCTGAAGGAGCAACTCAACACGGAAACGTTCATGTGGCGATGTTTTCTGAGGTTCTGTTGTTTCCTCGTCACACACAGACCGAGTCGTGTTTTGTTTTATTCACAAATCTTCTACTGTCAAACTGAAAACACTCTGTTCCACCTTGTGATGTCATCATAGGGTGATACAGGAAGTGCTCCATTGTGTTTTTATCCCGCGTTCTATAGATGCATCATGAATCTTTCAGACTTCAGGTCATCGCACAATCCAGACTGGGAAGGATTTTCCAAAAAAGTGATCATCAAACCTCCATGTTTGTTTCCCAGTGGGACGTGTCTATTGACAAAGTCGATCTTTTCAAGTCTTTTGAACCATTTCACTTTTGTTTCTGGTTCTGATATTGTCATATTTTAGTTTTGGGATTCGGACGTCGTTAATTGTTGTGGTTGTTGGATCCAAACAGCGGAAAACGACTCGAGAAATGTGTTTGTGAACTTCATAAATGCAAAAGTGAATCAGATGTGTGTGACTCAAACCTCCGTTCAAACTGTTTCTCTTCCCAACGGAATTGAAAAATAGTGAAAGGTGAAGGTGATGGGCAGGATTGATCCACAGGAAGAAACCAAAAAG